TCTGACTGTTTCTATCTGTCTGTCTCTGTCTGTCTATCTGTCTGTCTGTCTATCTGTCTGTTTGTTTCTATCTGTCTGTCTGTCTCTGTCTATCTATCTGTCTAACTGTCTATCTCTATCTGTCTGTCTGTCTATCTGTCTATCTATCTGTCTGTCTATCTATCTGTCTGTCTGTCTATCTGTCTGTCTGTCTATCTGTCTGTCTGTTTCTATCTATCTGTCTCTATCTGTCTGTCTGTTCCTATCTATCTGTCTATCTATCTATCTGTCTATCTGTCTGTTTCTATCTGTCTGTCTATCTGTCTGTCTGTCTATCTGTTTATCTATCTGTCTCTGTCTATCTGTCTCTATCTTTCTTTCTGTTTCTATCTGTCCGTCCGTCCGTCTGTCTGTCTGTCTATCTGTCTATCTATCTATCTGTCTGTCTGTCTGTTCCGTGAGGTTTCGAACCTTCATATACAAAGGCTGCCTTCAAAGTCATTGCCTGACAATGCAGCGAAGCAACTAGTTTTCGGACTCAGCCCTTGTTTCCCCTCCAAAATAATGACACTTTAAATTTAATTTAATTGAAGTCATCTATCATTGTGTTGACATGCATAACCCGTTTGTTTTGCAGTCAACGAAGCGGAACATCCCCATGCTGTTTGTCCGAGGCGATGGAGTCGTGTTAGTGGCGCCGCCGCTGAGGGTCGGATAAATCACTTCCCAGCAGAATTAAGTTTTGGACTCTAAATTCTTCAAGTGTGTAGACTATTAAGTGGATGACGTTTTCGTTTGGAACCGCAGAGTTGTAAATCTGTTTATTTTTCAAGTCGACCTTTCGTTTTATGTTTGGAAAACCCGTATTGGCAATTCATTTGCGCCATGTATGTTTTTTGACTGTCATTAAAGTTCTTGGAAGTTTGATTTTTCCAAATGACTGCTGTGTTCACTAATGTAATAAAGTTCATGTTATGATTTGTCATGCAGAAAACTTTCCTCCAAACATCTGCTTTGTTGGCCTAATATTATGCACAATAAGCACATCATTAATAACTCATTGGTCATAAGGTGGAGGAGCCCGGTTATGAGAACAAAAATGCATTTATTTGTTTTTATTTATTACATTAAATTTAGAATTTGCAGAGCCCCTAACAAGACATGGTGTAGTAAAAGAAAAAATTAGATGGAAAAAAAATTATCAATGGTTTTGTGTTCTCTGACGGAAGTAGGAGGCAAGGAGGAAAAGAGGCATGAGAGACAAGAGATGGCGTATTTTCCCCGGGTTTAAGAAAATGATTTGAACGTCTCACTCATCCGCATACATGGGGACTGAGTGAGAAAAAGCATACAAATAAACATTCAACTCTGCAATTCAACAATTTATGATTGAACTGTTTTGATGCAGGCTAAATACCAAACACATGAATTTCTGTGTACTACTTGCTATTTGTGGCAAGTATGATTTGATGGTGTAAAACCCTAATGAAGTTTTATCACGATCGGGGTGAGACACGGGGATTGACAAAAAGGGTGGTTATCATCTCTAATCAAATTTGCTTAATAGCTTTATAATTAAGAGTTGTAGTTAATCACACAATATGAGTAGATCTATGTGATATCAAACACTGAAACTCCAAACTGAAGCTGCATTTCCTTGTTCTCTTGATTTAAACATAGGATTAGTTATTATCATTCTATGGGAATGTCGATTTTTCTGTCCCTAGCCTTTACAGAAATATTACACTTGAAAAAACACTTTAGGGTTACAATTTCATTTAAAAACGAAACACTGTTATTTGAACAATTACACCTCCTTGAGCCAATAATGTGGCAATATTTGTTTTTTTTTTAAATTAATTTAATACAATTCCAAGCACCACAGAAGTGCTCGTCCCCAGTCAAAGCGCTTTATTTTGAGGTCAAAAACGGGTTTTTCTACCATTTAAAATACAATAATGTACACATAACTGTCAAATATACGATGTAAATGACAAAAAACTAAACAAAATGCCGAATAAATATGATCAAATATATCATGAAAGGTAGTGGTCCCCTGGAGTTGTGTCACTGGTGTTACCGTTCAACACAAATCTCTTATTTTGAAATAAAAATTACACTGATGACATCACTTGACTTCCTACTTCCTGGATGTCTATGAAGAAAGGCCAATGATAAATCCACTGTCTATTTTCAGTTATCGGTAATCTTCTCATTTATCTCATGATTTCATATGAAGCTCTTAGTTGAACTCACTGGTATGACCTACTTTATTGTTAAGGAATTGTAGAAAAAAAATACAATACAAATGGATTAAACTACTTAATTTAATAACTAGTAAATAACAAACTGCTAGTAAAGAAGGGGGGGGGGCACTGTTATTATTGCATTTAGTTATATAAATAGTATTATAATATTACATATATTTTGTTGTTTTTAAATGGTGCTATACTCGGGTGTGACCAGCAGAGGGAGCCGATGTTACATTCAACCCAAACATGTTTAGTTCCAGCGGGAGGCGCTGCCGTTCTCCTTCACAGCCTCAGGCCTGTTATCATAGAAGTGTTCAATCTCGTGTGATTATGTCGAGACTGAGTACTCTGAACTTGCCCAACAATTACCATCACATTCACATTCAATTAGATGTTAAACGGTCTCCTGGGTCGAAACTAACAACGCTATTCTTCCGTTACTTATAAATAGAGCAGTTGTTTGGAGAAGAGCACCAAAAATAACCCGTTCCCATGAAATGGGTCTTTCCCATTAGCGAGACAGTGACGCAGAGTTCCCAATGAAGATGGCCTAACTTTTCCCACAGCCTAAAATAGCCCCCTGGAGCGGGGTGATAACCAAATATAGCTAGTTTTGGGACCGGACCAGAGGGAACACTTTCCCGAGGAACTGATCAAAACCTGGCTGTAACTCAAAATAGTGTTATTGTAACATCAGGCTGGTGGTCATATGCAAAAATTAACGTGTTAGTGATTTAATAAGATGACGAAAAGGTGAAATATTAGCCCTTTAAATATAAATACAATGTTAATTGAATGTTTTTAAAAAAAAAATATATATATATAATCACACAAAAATATGAACAGTGTTGCTCCAACAAATACTAGATAAAATATTTAATCCAAATATTTGGATAGAAATATAGCTAACCATGGCCTCGAGATGGTTTAAATATTTTTTCTAGCTTCTACCAAATGCTCTTAAATTTATTGTGCTGGAATATACACTGGAAACACAGGATCATTTTTGAGGATACATTTTTAAAATGGAATTTGTGGTGAATATTTTATATCCTGTAATCCCTTCACCTGCCAGTAACTCACGTCATCCTGTAACTAAACTCAGATTCCCGTGAGAAAGAAAGGCTGGCGGTTTGCATGAATGTTGTCTGCATCTTTTCTTGTGTGTTGTTTCATATTGCAAGCATGTTCCTATAGGCTTTGCACGATTACATAAGAGAAACACTGGAGCATCTCCATGTGATCGTTCAGTTGGCTGAACCTGAAACAGTTCAACAAGAATGGCCTCCAGGTGAATGCTCATACATGACACAATGCATCCCATATAAAACTGACTGAGGCTGTGTGTGTGTATATTACTGAACATGTACTCTTTACATAATATGACATACAGTCGTGCTCAAAAGTTTACATATAACTTGCAGAATCTGCTAAATGTTCATTCTTTTTCCAATATAAGAGGATGCATGTAATGTTTTATTTAGTACTGTCCTGAATAAGATATTTTACATGAAAGATGTTACATAATAGTCCACAAGACAAAAAAATACCCGTTCAAAAGTTTACACCCCCTTGATTCTTAATACTGTCGGCACCTGGACGATCTACGACTGTGTTTCTGTGATGGTTGTTCTCGAGTCCCTTGATGGTCCTGATCAGTTAAACTGCACAATCTTCAAAAGAAAAATCATACAGGTCCCAGAAATTCTTCAGTTTTCCAGCATCTTCTGCATATTTGAACCCTTTCCAGCAGTGACTGTATGATTTTGAGATCTTTTCACACTGAGGACAATTGAGTGACTCAAAGACGAATATTTAAAAAGGTTCAAGCATTCACTGATAGTCTAGAAGGAAACAGATGCATTAAGAGCCAGGGGGTGAAAACTTTTGCAAAGGATGCAGATGTCCAAATTGTTCTTATTTTGTTTAAATATATAAAAAAACTAATTAAATTAGTACTTCCCTTCGGAAGCGACAGAAGATACTTACATGTTTCCCGGAAGACAAATTAAGTACAATTTACATTGATCTTCAAATTTAAAAAGTGTTCACCCCCGGCTCCTAATCCCCTGAGAAACGCTCACGTTTTTCCTTTTTTTTCCCAATACTATGACTGCGTCTGAAATCGTATTCTCTCTGAGTAGATACTTATTTTAAATAAGCCATTATTTCACGAGCACTAAAAAAAGTATGTTCTACATATAGTATGAATGTGTGTAGTATGAATATAATCCAGATGTACTACATTCGTCATGTTGTCATTATCATGTGACCTTCCAGCGTCAGTTGCGTCGCTTCACTGCCATTCACAAATCCGTGGCCTCATGGGACAGTAAAGTGTCCATCGTATGCCCCCTCAGAGTCTCGCCGGAAGTAATGGGTCACCCGGTTACTTTCCGCCACTCTTTTATGAATACTGTAAATTCAGACATACTACTCTTGTCTCATACTGTTTTTCACCCTACAATATAACATGGAAGTATGTGATTTCAGATCCAGTCTATATTCTACGTTCACGCCATGTCGTAATTACCGTAAATTAAGCTCCGTACACTGTTTAATCGATTACGCGGTACTTTGAAGTTATGAACGGATCGGTCTGCACAGCGCAGCTTGAAGTCGAACACACCTTAAATCTGCAGTGGTCAGGTGGTGCAGCGGTCACATGGTACAAGCCGTCGCTCTCGGAAAACTACGGGTTTACGCTTAAGTTCTACGAGCTCGTGAAGGCTTTACACAGTTCAGAATCCTTACGGTAATTACGACATGGCGTAAACGCACCTATACTTCTCTGCTGGCGTACAGTTTTCCGCATACTATACAGTAAAGTATTCGATTTCGGATGCAGCGTGAGTATTTTAACCTCATGCCCCAAATATAAAACACTAAGACAAAAACACTTCCCAAACATTTCCCAAATATACCCTGAATTCGAATCCATATCAGACACACAGAAAATCCCATATTTACTAGGAGAAATGCCCAAATGTGAGATAATTGCTGCAAAATATGTCTCCTCATGCCATGAAATGAGGACAACCAGTGGAACCTCAGATGGATAAATAATTGTACAAATGTTCAAATAATTATTATTTTGATTGTTTGATATTTTAGTAATTGTTTAATTTTATTTTTTATTGTTCACTTTTATTTATCTATATGTTTGTATATGTCTATTGCTTTGGCAATATTGTGCTATTGTACACATTCATGCCAATAAAGCTCATTTGAATTAATGTTTACAAAATGGCTCCATTCACTGCTATTGTAAGGGCCTCACTGTAACCCAAAGAAAGAAACATGTTTGTGGTACTCAACCTGGAATATTCCTTTAATGCATAGCTTTCTCTTTGGCTGAGGAGCGCTGGGCTTTGAATCCACACTTAGTTTACACCCTTCAGGATCAGTTTTTCCTATTACCAGTGTGAAAAGCATGTTGAGCTGTTGAGAATAGCTTACGGACGTGAGGGACGTGGCATCAAAGACCCGCGGCTCTAATCTTAGACTGGCTGGAGCGTCCAGCAAATCCTCCTAAGCTGGAAATAGCAGTGCTAAACATAGACACTCGGACTGTAAGACGTTACACTAATGTGCAAATAAAGATGTTGGCGAGTCAGTGCAAAGTCCATTTCTGTCCTAGGCTAATATAACGATCTCAGAAACATATTTGCACAG